CTCATAAAAAAGACTTAATCAAAAGACTTAGTCAAGCTATCATTTTTAGTAAATCTGATATAAAAAGTGATTTTTGATAAATCCAAATTCATCCTAAAGATAGTTATAAAACTGCTTTTACTACACCCTTTGGTCATTATGAATGGAATGTCATGTCTTTTGGACTAAAAAATGCACCTAGTGAATTTCAAAATATAATGAATGATATTTTTAATCCATTTAGTCATTTTTCCATAGTTTATATAGATATTCTCATTTTTTCAAAATCAATTAGTGAACATTGGAAATATCTTACCGCCTTCTTTTATACTATTAAAAGTCATGGTCTAGTCATATCTGCTCCTAAGATTAAATTGTTCCAAACTAAAGTCAGATTTTTAAGATATGATATTTACTAGAATACAATTCTACCAATTAGTCGCTCTATTGAATTTGCTTCTAAATTTCCTGATGAAATTCTAGAGAAAACCCAGTTACAACGTTGTCTAGGATCACTTAATTATATTGCTGAATTTTATAAAGATCTCAGGAAAACTTATCAACCCTTATTTGATCGATTAAAGGACAATCCTCTCCCTTGGTCTCCTACTCATACTACTATTATTAAACAAGTCAAACAATATGTCCAGTCTCTTACTTGTCTTGGTATTCCCACTGACAATTCTTTTAAAATTATTCAAGCCGATGCCTCTGATATTGGTTATGGTGGCATCCTTCTCCAAAAAATCACTCATCAGTCATCTGAACAAATTGTTCGATTTCATTCTTGTGTCTGGAATAAAGCACAAAAAAATTAGAGTACTATTAAACAAGAAATTTTATCTACTGTTTTATGTATTAGTAAACTTCAAGATGATATTTTAAATCAAAAATTTTTACTTCGTATTGATTGTAAATCTGCTAAGTGTGTTTTAGAAAAAGATGTTCAAAATCTTACTAGTAAACAAATTTTTGCCCGTTGACAATCTATATTAAGTATTTTTTATTTTGATATTGAATATATTCCTGGTTGTCAAAATCCTATTTCTGATTTTTTCTTACCAGAGAATTTTTACAGGGTGGATAATGCCTATTCCCTCTTTTTCATACCACAAACATAGAATTAAACACTACAAATCCCTGATTAAGCGTACTGCTGCTCGCCTTGCTTTTCTCAAAACTACCCATATCCACTAAACGTGCTCAATATATTCAGTTCCATCGGATTAAAGCTCAACACCAGCAACTTTCTCATTTTATATTAACTGTTTACATTCACATACTGATCAATTAAATATCCTCTGTGGATGCTAATTTTATTTATCTATTTCACAGATGTCTCGTCCCAGGCCCCCTTCTAAAGCATTGGTCCCATCTAGTCAACCTTTTGTTCCTCCTCCCTTGAAATTAGTCACCAAATATCACCTTGCTGAATTGGTTAATTGTTACCAAATTCTTGGTAACATTCCTAAGCCTAGTTATAGATCTGCTTTGGCTACTGATCCCTTTGCTTCATCCAGTCAAGCAGTTACTCCTTATCCTCCTAACCCTATTAAATCTGCTCGGTCTGATTATGTTAAATCTACTACTACTAATCTCTTTTTCAAAAAACCCAGTCACCCAAAGAGTCATACTGTTCATGATCTGGCAAAATCTTATTTCCCTCCTGGATGGCATTTTATTCCTCTCCATCCAGAAAAGACAATTACCTTCTATAAAGATATCCTGTTTAACCATCAGTCTATTGTGATTAAACCCATTTATGATCGTACTTACACAAGTAAAATTGTGTATCATTCACTCTATATTCACAACTTCGTTTCTCTGGTTGACTGGGGTCCTCCTTACCAACTAAAAGATTTGCCTGGTCATTCAATTCAATACAGTTACTATGATTACATTGATACTTGGTTCAAAGTTCTCTTGTATCAAAATGAGTCAAATAGCCACTCTTGGTTTCTCTAGTTTGATCAAAAGTTCAAATCTGAATTACCTACTTGGTTTTTGCGGTGGTGAACTCAGTATGGCGCCATTTCAGAAATCTTCCCATCTGTAATTATTGAACAAGTCAACTATTTCTTCACTATTTTCTCATTCACTCCACAGCAAAGGAAATTTCCTCCACTGCTTATTTTTATATCCAAATACAAAATCCCTTGGATATTCAAATGGCAATATGATATTTCTGATGATGTTATTTACCGCCAACACATGGTTAAATGGTTGGATAATTTCAAAATTTCACGCATTATTGAGATTGTTCAAACTGAATTCCCAATCAACATACATGCTCCAACTCCTATAATGGTTAAAGCTCAGCAGATCCCAACTGCTTCACTATCTCAGGGAAGCCAACTTTCTCCAGTCAATCTTGGAAGCCCAACATCCAGTTCTTCCAAGCTCAAGTCATCTAAATCAAATATTAAATCCAAGTCAGCAAAGCCCAATACTAATCAGCCCAAGTCAAAGGATAAGCCTAAATCCAAGGCTAACCCCAAATCCAAGTCATCTAAAGAGGAGCTCCTCCAAATGGCTCGTCTCCTCATGGCCCAAGCCAAGTCAGACTCGCATAATAACAGTTCAGAAGATGGTTCAGACAGGTCAAACTCTTCTGAAGGATCAACTACTCAAAATCCATATGGACCCAAATTTCAAGATGCTCAGGATCCATATGCCTAGCCAATTGCTCAAACAGTCAACATTGGTTTCGATATATATGCATTATAGCTTCACTCTCTACTCATCTTTTGAGAAAAGCTGCTATTTTGTCTATATATTGATTCCAATCACATGCCACCGAAAGTTATGAATAGTAAAAGCCAAAGTCATTCTATTCACCAATCAGACAAAGTCATCAAAGCCAAAAGCTTCAATCAACTTTAGTCATTTGGCCGAAAGATTCAGACAGCATCCATGTGCTCCATCATGCTCTTCCAGCCACTAGTCACAAGCTGCATAGTTACTTTTTGACTTATAAATTGGTGAACCTAGTAAATTGATAAGCAGAGTTAGAAAACAATTTGAGAGTATTCCTTCCTCAAAAAGTAGCTATCTCTGTAATTTTATTCAAGTTCGTTTTTAAGTTATGTATTTTGAAGAACTGTTTGTTTCATTCCAGTAAACAATTGCAAGTTTTATTATTTATGTTTTATTTATAAACACATTATTTATATATTAAATAATATTAAAAAAATCTTATCGAGCCGAACTGAGCCAAGTTCGAATTCGAGTTTCATTAGTATTAACCTAAAAAGCATAGGTACAGACACGCGACACGACATGGATACGACACGGATACGCCGATACGTTAATTTTCAAAAAATGCAAAACACGACACGTAGGGGACACGCATGAAATGTATAATTTTATATATTTATTATATGTTATATATATATATGAATATATCATTCAAAGATAATAAAAAATGCAATATGACACTAATTCCTATAAATTTATATGTTTTTTGTTTTATTATTGTATCTTAAATTGTTTTGTTCAAACTTATAATTAGTTGCACATGTGTCTGATCGATAGACACGGGTGTTTAAGAGATACACACGTGTATTCTCGAAGTGTCCAAAGAGTATCTGGGTGTTTCAAAAATATTAAAAAATAAGACACGTTTTGAAGAGTGTCGAACACATGTCGAAAAAGTCTCCAAAGAGTGTCTGTGTCCGACACGGACACGACACAGATACATCACCTTCTTAGAAGTGTCCGTACTTCTAAGGTATGAATGAGCTGAGATGAGCAGAACTCGAACCCGACCCAGGCCCAGTTACTTATCGAGCCGAGCTCAAGCTCAATAAACGAGCTTGAACTCAACCGAGCTCGGCTCGGCTTGTTTGTAGCTCTAGTTTTAGAACAAGCTAACTCAATCCTATTACAGTGCTAAAATAAGGTGGTCTTTCTAAACTACCCCTTCAACAAATTGAAGATTTGGAAAGTTTAGCTTTTGTAACCTTTCAGCCCTTGGAAACTCTAGTGGAACTTTGTTTTTAATTTGCATTTAATAAACTTTTCAACAGATTGTATAATCTTTTGTCCCAGGTAAATAAAACAGAGTCCAAAAAAGCTGAAAAACTTGAGCTCAAAGTCCGCTAAAAAATGCCAATAAGAACAGAAGAGGTCAAAGTTCACAGGATCTTCACCCTGAAAAGGGACATTAAAAGAAGACCTGCCAAGGAAAGTAGAATTATATTTATGAGGAAACATTCAAAAACTCCGTGGCCTAAAAACATCTAGAAGCAAAACTGGATTAAAATTATAGTTCGTTATCAAGATAATTCCCACTAAATTACTGAAATTTCAACTATAAATTTCTATGAGTCTTACAAAAATTTCTGGTGTCATAAAATTTTGGACCTACATAGCCCAAGAGAGTATAATTGAAAACAACCCCAGAAAAACATTGTTGAAAAATCCCTATAATAATTTGAAAAATCCAGTTATTGCCGAACTTTAAGCAGAATCTAGGAGGTATAAACAGCCCTATAAAATTGTTACCTCATGGAAATAGCTCCAACCAAATCAAGAATAAAAAATCCCCTATATCATAAAGCAACCATTAAATTTGCAACTCTCAGAAAAACAATGAGTAACAACAAAGGCTGTGTTTGTTTTCTAAGAAAAAATGCAGCAACAGAAAGGGGAAACTTTCAATTCTAAAAGTTCATATCAAGGGGAAAAAAAATCTGGCCCTATAAATTTTCATAATAGAACTTGGTATGTAGGTTGTTGGGTCAAATTTTTATTTTAAACAAAAAATTTTTAAAAAAAATAATTAAATAAACTGGAGAGAACATTCTTGTTCAAAAAAAAAAATTTCTTTCCTCTTAAACAATTTTCTCACCAGCCAAACAGAGTAAACGAAACCCATGCAAATAAAATTTCAACATGATTCTGCTAGAATTACAAGATGGGTCGCCCGTATACCTAACGAAAAAGCACATTTTTTTTATGGTGACAAAAAATAAAAACTATTACAACATGCGATGAACAAAAACTCAACAAAATCGTACCTTTTTAGCATCAAAGTCCTCAGCTTTGGTTATTACCGACAACAAATATAACTGTATGTCGTGCAACCTTGTTAAAAAAATAAAATTGAAAATTGAAAAAAAAAATTAAATGGGATCATCGGAAATCACAATCCATGTAAAACGCACAACAAATTTTCTTCCAATAGCTAATGCATGTATAAATTACAAAAAGGAAGAATAAAAAAAATGAAATTGAGGAAAAAAGAATCGGCTAGGGAAAAAATTGGGGAAGTAATTGAAGGGCTAACCAGATTGTGAGTTTGATCAGAGCGAGCGAGATCGAGAGATCTGGCAAATCTTTGAGAAAACAGAGAGAGAGAGAGAGAGAGTTTTTCAATGGAAAAATCAACTGGTGTTCTTTGTATGTATGTATGTATGTAATTGTGATGTATTGTGATGTATTTTTTTTATTTTATATTCAAGCGATTAAGTGCATGAATTGGGGTGGCTGCTGTGTGGGGTCTACAGCAACCACTGCTGTGGACCCAATTGAACCTTTTTTGGAGCTTATTTTGAGAATTTAAATTATTCATATTTTAGAATATATCAAGTAAAATATATCTGTAAGAAATCAAATTAATCGACTATCTTTTGTCTATTCATTCACACATATTTGTGTTCATTTTAATACTTTAAATTATAATTTTTATTTGAATACAAATGTATTTGTGTTCATTTTAATACTTTAAATTATATTTTTTATTTGAATACAAATGTATGTGGATGAATAAGTAAATAATATTCGATTAACTTGATTTTTTACAAGTATATTCTACTTGATGTATTTTAAAATATGAACGGTTCGAATTCTCAAAATGGACTCCGAAAAGAGCCCAATTGGCTCCACAGCAGTGGCTGCTGCAGCCACCCCAATTCCTTAAATGCAACGTGGTTGTATGGGTTTGTAATTAACGACCAGCAAATTGTTTCTAATTTCGCATATAGCCTTTGTTAGATGGATGCATAGATGGCCGGTATGCGAATTTGGTAGAGATACAACTTTCTCCAACTCTCTCTTCTCATTATTTTAGTCATGTTTATTTTTATAATATTCTTTCCTCTATTATAAATTTCATTTTTCTTCGTCTAGTTTTGGTTTTGATTCCTCATTTTTTAATTATAATAATTAAATTTTAATTCTTACTTTACTGTAATCAGTTTTAAATTTGAAATAAAGTTCAAGAGAAGCAGGCGGTGTTTGAATTGATTTTTAAACTATAATTTTACCCTCACATTTAATGTCATGTTTAGATATATTTTTTAAGTTATATTTTCACAGTAAAAAGAAAATTTTGCAGCAAACTCTGTGTCAGGCCTACTTGATGTATTTTAAAATATGAACGGTTCGAATTCTCAAAATGGACTCCGAAAAGAGCCCAATTGGCTCCACAGCAGTGGCTGCTGCAGCCACCCCAATTCCTTAAATGCAACGTGGTTGTATGGGTTTGTAATTAACGACCAGCAAATTGTTTCTAATTTCGCATATAGCCTTTGTTAGATGGATGCATAGATGGCCGGTATGCGAATTTGGTAGAGATACAACTTTCTCCAACTCTCTCTTCTCATTATTTTAGTCATGTTTATTTTTATAATATTCTTTCCTCTATTATAAATTTCATTTTTCATCGCCTAGTTTTGGTTTTGATTCCTCATTTTTTAATTATAATAATTAAATTTTAATTCTTACTTTATTGTAATCAGTTTTAAATTTGAAATAAAGTTCAAGAGAAGCAGGCGGTGTTTGAATAGATTTTTAAACTATAATTTTACCCTCACATTTAATGTCATGTTCAGATATATTTTTTAAATTATATTTTCACAGCAAAAATAAAATTTTGCAGCAAACTCTGTGTCAGGCGAGATTTTTTTTAAAAAAAAATTGACTTAACCGGTCGTCTGGCCTATCAATTGGAACATGGCAAATTTTTTATTTTTATTTTTTGTAATTGACACTTGTGTTTGGTTATAAGTTGTAAGTTTTTGTATCAAATATCATACGTTACATCCAAAATTCCCCGTTCAATTTAAAACTCTTTTCAAAAAATTTTTCAAAACTCATTCACCAAACAAATTTTTCACACTTCATAATTCTAAAACTCATAAACTCAAAATACAACTCTATTCTCAAAATCATTATTGTCGCAAATCTTCAAGTTTTGTCACAAGCAAGATTTGATTCTCCCAAACTACAATGTACAAAAATAGATGTCAATGTAAATAAAAACTATAAAAACAAAATTCAACTTATTTTTTTTTAATAAGATTATCAAATTTTACCAAATTCTATGAACCAAAAAATAGTATTTTCTTTTATTTGTATTCGAAAATTTACACTGACAGTCATGGTACCTTTTGAATTTGTTATCAATTTAATTTGCTTGACAAAGTCCTTTTAGGAGGTTAACTAAAATCAATAAGTAAAATAGTTCATCCAGTGACTTTAAAGTGATTGTAGGATTAATATTCAATTTAAAATAATTAATTTCTTTTTTAATTGATAATTTTATCTCTAATAGCTATCAAAAATCCTAATAAATATTATTAATTAGACTAAAATTCGTTTTGAGTTTAAGTATTTGACCATGAGAATTTATGAATTTTAGTGAAATTTGCTAAAACTATTGTTAATTTTTAGTCAGATTCCCTGGAGCACCTCTTGAAATATTATGAACTAAATATTTGAGAGAATTTTATCCAACAAATATATTTATATAAATCTCATTTTACTACTTGTATAGTCATAAGCATTTAAATAAAAAACAAACAAAAATGAAGGATTTTCAAATAGCTATTTTTTCTTAAAATAAAAAGAATTTTTTTTTCTTTCTTTACAAACGTCGAATCAAAATTGAAGCCCTTATGTTATCCATATTGCCATGCGAATGTCTAAAGAACACCTCTAAATAATTACAGTCGCTAATCAAGTTTATGTTTTATACATTTTATCTGTTCAATTACAAGAGGTTTGGTTATGTATAACCTTTTTTTTTTTTTTTTTCTTATAAGAATGTTTGTGATTTTGCTTCAATTAATCCTAAATACAAATTTGGACAAATTACATTAACAGTCCCTATAGTTTGAGATTTGTGTCATTTTGGTCCCTGACTTTTCAATTGTAACACATTTAACCCTGAATTTTGAATCTTATTCAAAATAAGGACAATTGAAGATACCAATGCTTAATTTCAAGGATAAAATTGTCAATTTGATAAAAAATAAACTAATTTGACAAAACAAATGTCAAAAAAATATTTTTGAATTTTTAAAAATTGTATCTATACACTAAAGATAAAATTATGTAAAATTAATATATATTTTTGACATTTTTTTTATTTTACCAAAATAAATTTTATTATGTGTTTGGATGATGATCACGTAATGGGTGTTTATTTTTATTTTTATTAAATTAGTTTTCATTTTTCCAAAAGTCAAATACGGTGACAGCTTTGGTATCATTATTAAACCAATCCATTAAATCAAAAAATTCAAAATTAAAAACATTTCATATATTAAATATATTGATTACACATTAAAATTCTAATAACCACCATTGCATAATCATTATTCAAACACATAATAAAGATTAATTTGGTAAAATAAATAAATAAATAAATGTTTAAAAGATTTATCAATTTTACATAATTTTATCTGTTGTGGGTTGAAATAATTTTTAAAATTTTAAAAATATTTTTTTGACATTTATTTTTATCAAATTAATTTATATTTTATCAAATTGACTATTTTGCCCTTGAAATTAAGTAATAGTATTTCTAATTGTCCTAATTTGGAACAAGATTCAAAATTTAAGGTCAAATGTGTCACAATTAAAAATTCATGGACCAAAGTGACACAAAACCTAAACTATATGGACTATTAGTGCAATTCGCCCCCACAAACTTGATTCCCAAGAGATACCACATGGATGATTAAACAAAGTCATTGGTGCATCACAATTTCTCCCTTGGTATTAAACAAAGCCATTTGTGTTCTAATAACCACCATTGCATAATCATTATTCAAACACATAATAAAGATTAATTTGGTAAAATAAATAAATAAATAAATGTTTAAAAGATTTATCAATTTTACATAATTTTATCTGTTGTGGGTTGAAATAATTTTTAAAATTTTAAAAATATTTTTTTGACATTTATTTTTATCAAATTAATTTATATTTTATCAAATTGACTATTTTTCCCTTGAAATTAAGTAATAGTATTTCTAATTGTCCTGATTTGGAACAAGATTCAAAATTTCAGGTCAAATGTGTCACAATTAAAAATTCATGGACCAAAGTGACACAAAACCTAAACTATATGGAATATTAGTGTAATTCGCCCCCACAAACTTTATTCCCAAGAGATACCACATGGATGATTAAACAAAGTCATTGGTGCATCACAATTTCTCCCTTGGTATTAAACAAAGCCATTTGTGGCTAATGTGTGGTACAATTTTGAAAGTAGCAACCTTTGAATGTGATATAAAAATGCTAAACTTTAATTTAGCTATTTATTTTTAGGGTAAAAAAATTCTCAGCTACATAAAAAATGAGAGAGTGGGGAAAGAGCAATATTAAGTTATTAGACATCAATTTGCGTTCGACGGGTTAAAAAGTTATTCAAAATTAATTTGTTATGAAAATCTAAAAACATTTAACACTTTTAATACTAGTTAAATTTTCAAACAAAATTTAAGTAACTTGCCACTTAATTGGATAAGTTTACAAACACTAAAAAAAAATTCAAAATTCAAATTAATTGCACTTGGCTTGACTTGATTAAAATTTTGGGCGCTCGAGAGAAAAATCCAAATTTGATTTTCTTATGGCCAAAAATCTACGCTTTAGACTTTTCTTAAGGCTCAGTTTAGATTAAATGTCCAAAATACCCTTATATATAATTTACATGGTTCAATACAATTTACAAATCATCTCTCTCTTTCTAAACCATTGAATAGAGCTCCGCCACGCTATCACCGTTGCCGGAGACTATCACTAGAAGACGTCCAGGTCGCGACAATAGACGTCGCCACTGCTAGCACCATCTTGTTGTCTCTCTCTCTCTCTCTCTCTCTCTCTCTCTCTCTTCCACTCTCTTCTTCAGATTTGTTGTTGTTTTCGCCATCTCCATCTTTATCTCACGTTCTCTTTCTCCGCGACAAGGCAATGACTCCGATGGCCAAACCCTTCCCACTAGTACTGTCGCTTCCCACTGTCTCCTTATCTCCCGCCAACAATCTGTTCACTTACATCCTTGTCATCTCTCTCTATCTTTCTCTCATCATCATTAAACCATGAAGTCGTCGGCAGTAAGCTCCAGATTCATCGCTCACT